TAAGATTAGCTAAGCTTTAAGATAGCCTACTCTCGGCTTACCTTAGTAGTAAGAGGAACTAGGCTATAGCGTATTCTTATAGGGCGTATACTAGTATTAGAAAGCTTAGTTTCTATAATCGCGTTATAATAGAGTTAGAGACTAAGGAATAAAATTTCGGTAGTAAAAGAAATACTAAGTAGATCGTTAATCGAAGTAGATTAAATAGATAATTGATCGAAGTAGATTATTAACCGAAGTAGGTAGCTGATCTATTCTATAGCTAATAGTAGTTAGTATATAGCCGCTAGCCCTTTTCCGGTCGTACTTATATATATATTCGTTATTATAAAACCGCGTACTATAGGCTACGTTAGTAGGAAAACAAATTTAGAAGCTCTTAGACTAGGACTAGGTAGTTATAGCTCAAATATTTTTAATATATATACTAGAATTTAAAGAACCCTAAACGCTAGTATATTAAAACGCTAAAGTATATTAGTGCCTTTTTATACCTAAGGCGTGAATCGACTTAAACCTAAGGGGTAAGTAAGCTAGTTAGTATATATAGACGCTTTCCGCCCTAACGGGCTACTTCCCCGCGCTAGATAGCGAACCCCTACTATATTAACTTCGATTTATATTATTCGATTATTTACTAAATACTAATTTTAATAAGCGATAGAAGAAACAATCGCCGAGCTATAACGTTAACTTAAGAAGGAGAGATAGGCGCGAGATAAGGTAGAGCGGCGAGTATAGCTAAATATACTATTTCGCCTTCTCGATCGCTATTACAACTCTTTATCTTAAGCGCTCTAGGTTAAGACGAATACTACTCTTATAACCTAGGGTAACGCGATTAACCCCGTTAACCGACTTTACCTTAAGCGTATTATCCCTTAGCTTGATTTCCCCTAACTCTAAGAGTAAATCTAGAGGAAATTCGACTATACCGATACCTTTACTATACGCCTACTATTCCCTTCTAATATCTAAATCGATTATATCGTTATAAATATCTAAAATAGGCCGATCTATTCGGAAGCGTCTCTTCGGAATTTTAAGCGAGATATAGTAGATAACTTTATAGAAAAGGTTATTAAGACGTTAGGAGATAATAAACTACTTCGATATAAGTTTAGAATCTAAGGCCGAGTTACCTTCTATAACCGCGCGAACCTATTAGAAACTTCGCTAGAGAACAGCTTAGAGTAAATAAATCTTTAGGACGCGCGGATACCCTAATAACTAGCGAATACTAGGTATAGAAGAGGTAGATAAAGGGAGATAGGAGCGGACAGCACTATATAAAAACGTAATTAGCGCGCCGACTAGTTCTACGTATATCTTATAGCTAATAAACGATAAATACTAGTATATATAATAGAGTTCAAAGTACCGTATAAGGTAACAATTCCCGAATTAGTAGCGGGTCTATACTAGATAGATCTAGCTCGCGATATTATTAACTAGGAAGGCGATACGTTTAAGTTTTATACTACCTACCTTATCGCCGCTATAGTTACTTAGATATTCTTATATATAATCGATAATAGGCTTTAATACGGCTATATCTATATAGGGAAGGCTTTTATTTTTCTCTATATCCCGAAGTATAATCCTATAGTTATTTAATATTTTATATATATCCCGAATTAGGACGTATAGGCGGACGATAAATAGCGCCTCTATCGGACCGCTATCGGCTAGGTACTTATATTTACCCTTTAAGCGCTAGCCGCCGAACCTCTATCTTAAGAGTAGTATAATATAATATACGATAAGCTAAAGACCTAAGAGATCGAATACCTAGATATATTAAGAAAAATCCCTAAAACTCTCTATAAAGACTCGCGAGCCTCTAATTATCGACCCTCGTACTAGAAATTAGAACCGAAGATATATAATATACGATCCCGTACTCGCTATAAACTAGGTATATCTACTCCGAAGCATTTATCGACCGAAGGTAGTAATAGTAATAAAGAATTATATTCGCTATCTATTATAGTAGCGGCTTATAATAGGTCGAGCCGCGGCCGAGGTAATAACCGCTAATCGACTAAGGAAAGCGAAAGGATATAAGCCGGCTAGGGTAATAAAGAGACTTCTCGAAAAGACGAGTATTTTATATAGCTATACTATACTATTAGCTATATCCGCGGTACGACTAACCGAGACCCCCTAGATAAGAATTACCCTAACTAGAAACTCTATAGTAGCTAGAGATACTCTATAGGGCCGTAGGAGTTTATACGCCGGCTTTACCGTCAACTTACCCGAAACCGAAACTATAGGTTTAAATAACTTTATATCTATAGTCGGACGGGTTACCTCGTTAAAGCTACTCTTCTATTATACGGATATACTATAGTTATTAAAGCTACTATAATAGAGAAGTAGTATCGCCTTTAAGCGGAGGCGAACAATTATCGTTACCTTAGGAGCTTATAAGGAAATTAGATCCCCGTCTATCTTAGATTATTTTAGCTATAGGTCGCGTATTAGTACTATAGTGAATTAATTGCCTAGATAATAGTCTTAAGCTAGTTAGGAACGCGACTTCAGTATATAATTAATAATAAGAATTCTAGTTTCTTCAATTAGGAGCGTAAGAAAGCTCTAACCGTACTCCGGTTATACGGAGTTATCTATAATAATAGTAAGTAGCGTAATATATTATAGGATAACCTTAGTAGCTAGTTAATTGTTATTAACTTAGAGGATATAAAATAGTTAAAGCGCCGTCGGATACTTAAATCAACTTCTAGTAATATCTGGCGTGGTTATCGCGTCGGCGTAGAGAAAGCAAGCAAAAGCTCTTATCTAGCTTGATAGTTACCTATATATAACGACCGTTATCCTACAAACCACTATACTAGTCGACTCGGTTAACGACCGTACCGTTAGATTATAGGATAGGAGAAATTATATTTATATTCTTAGCTTAGCTATCGTATAATATAAGATTATCTTAAGAAGGTCGGGTGTTTATCATTGTTAGCATAATAGTATTATATAATATATATATATATAGGATATATATTATGGTATATATATGTTATTATGATGGGAAAGGAGCCTATATATATTTTACCGGTACTATCTAAGTGATCCTTAGATATATGATATATGGTAAACTATATTATGACTCACTATCATCTGCCATATATAGTGAGGTCATATTATGATATTTGCCATATATAGTGAAGTCATATTATAACATTATGAGATATTACATTATCTCATAATTGCCTCCTAACTAGCTATATAAGGAATCGAAATTCCTTACTTAGCTAGTATGTTATAATAATATAAGCATAACAACAATCAACTTGACTTCTACCTCTTACATTAATTCCTATTCTAGCTAAGTATAACCCTTTATATCTTATATAATATAATTATATAAGCTATAAAGATTACCTAATACCACTTCCCTACTAAAATATTATAACCTAATTATAGGCTATAATATTATATCTGCTAAAGTGCCAACAATCATAATAATAAATTATAACAAATACCTAGACGAAGAAATTATTCGGTGTTTAATATAATAAGTATACGAGCTTCGGGAGCTATATCAGCGTCCGGTAATATAGGATATCGAACTGATTTAGGCTATAGATTAGCGGCTAAGAATCGGATAGGATACCTTTATAATATTCAAGGTTTTACAAAAAGGGTAGTTAAAAGACGGTTATAACTTCTAAGGGAAGCAATCGGACGCTCTATAAACGTATCCACTTTATCTAAGAGTATTATAGCACTATATTAGATTGTTTCGCGATCTTGAATATATACTTAAGCCTTATCTAATATATTAGGGTCTCCGTAGTTAATATTAGTTGCCTACTAATTAATACGGGATATAGGTTAATAAACATATTTAAATTAAGGAGTGAAAATATAAGAAACAACTAAAAGAGTAGGGGCCTAAGATCGATAGTCTAAAAAAAAAGACCGGTAGGCTAGCAAAGTACCTAAAGGGCGAGAAAGTAACTAGGAAAATAGTAAACGCCTAAAATATTAAACTAATATCTAATTAGCTATCGTCGCGGTATTATACCCCTTTACCTCCCTATTACGCGGGTGCCCTCTATTACTAGTTCTTAACGTCCTTCTTATACCTAAGAGCCCTCTCTCTTTAGTTAGCTCCTAGTCTTTATTTTCGCTATCTAGTTTTTAATACTAGTAATAGCGCTAAAAGGCGAGTTCTTTTACTCTAATAGGAACGATAAAACTTTAGCGGGACTAAAAATTTAGTCTAGTACCTTAGAAGTAAAGTTATTAGTAAGTCTCTCAATCGCTTTATTACCGAATTTATACTTTGACTTCTTATAGTCTACCGTCTACTTATAGACCGTATAAAATAGTTAAGTAGAAATCTTCTTATCGGTAAGCTAGAAATATACTTTCTTATCTACGCGGTTAGGCCGAATAAGTGCTTTATCTAGATATTCGATATAATTAGTTATTATAATAAGTACCCGACCTTCTTAAGACGATATACTATTAAGAATATTTAGAAGACCGGATAGGGTGACTCTAGAGGTTGACTTATCCTCTTAGTCTATATCGGAGTCGTCCTTACGCCCTATCCTAGCGGCGTCTATATCCTCTAGGAGAACGATATAGTACGGCGGAAGCTTAAAAAATAGCTTTATTAGCTTACTATTAGAAATCCCTAATAGTTAAAGCGTATAAATATCTAGTTCAAATTCCCTAGCTAGGGATAGACTAAAGCTAGATTTTCCGGTTCTAGGAGGTCTATATAAAAGGTATCCTCGTTAGTAGGGGATACCGCGGTCGGTATACTACTTCTATATATCTTTATTTAGGAAGTCCTTTATATCTCTTAGAAGGCTATCTTATACTTCCTTATCTATAATAACCGTTAAGACGGGTCGAACTAGTCTTAACCTAGTTTTCTTCTAGTCCCCTTCGCGGTACTTAAAGATAGTAATCTTTTTATTAATATTATTAAGGTAATTTTCTCGGCACTCTTTAATAAGCTATTTAAGAATATTTAGATAAAGGCTAATAGAGGAGATATAGATATCTTCTCGATAGTCTTTAATAGTATAGTAAAGTATAAGTAAGTGTCCCTTATACTAAAAAGGAAAAGATCTATCCTAAGGCGAAAATGTTAAAGGCTTTTTCTTTTCTTAACTTTAGATAGTAGTTCGCTATAGAGATCTTATACGAGTAATTATTAAGTAAGCGTTATAGATAAACGGTTAGTAAGCTATCTAGTCGACTAGTATATTATACGCTTCGTTATAATATAAGACATAGATTGTCGAAGCTACTAGCTATTAGACTTATCCTATTATAAGGGAAGAATTATAAACTAAAGTAGCTTCTTACTAGCTCCCTAATATAGCGGACTATATAGCGAATAAAGAGGATAAGTATTCCTAGCGTATAAAGGAGTCGAGTATAGCTATCTAGGTTACCGGTAAGCAGCTGCTATATAGAGGCAGAGGCTATACTAAAACCTAGAAAAAGAATATCTATAAGGGATATCTAGGAAGGGCTATAATATAAACTATCTCCGCTTATAGCGTTTATTATATATAAGAGAATCGAAGGATATAATATTTATAGTTGAGATAAAATAAGAAAGGCTTATAACTACTCTTATTTATATCTTTATCCCTACTTCTTTTTAAGTCGTATCGCTTACCCGAGGACGAAGGTACGAGAGCTAAGCTATATTAGTTAATATATATAGTATAGCGTTATATAGGTATCCTACAGAAATTCTACCTAAATCCTACTAGAATTCCGTTCGAACTACTAAGTAAATTCTATAACTATAATATTTAAATAGGGAGAAAGATAAGATAATATTTCTTAAATAATACCGTTTAAGGATAACTTTCTTCTTAGCCGTTCTATACCCTTTAAGACTATTTTATTCGAGTAGAGAAGTACAATTTGATAAGTTAACAATACCTAAAGTCACGTACCTAAGGAGCTTATGATTTAGACGAACCGAGGGAGATACCTAACCTTTACCCCTACCTAATATAAGGCCACTAAAAATAATAATTACTCCTTATTTTTATCTATATCTATCGAAGGCTACTACTACTATAAAGTAGCTATAATGTCTCTATATTCTATACTATAACTAAGCGATTTCTAACCAAGTATTTTCCCTTTTAAGATTAGATAAGCTTATCGTAACCCTACTCGCTACCCGAGGTAAGATACTACGGTATACTACGTAAGATAAAGGTCTCGAAATCTATAATAGAAGAGGAAATTTTAGATAAATTTAAGAAATAGGTAAGCTATATATTCGCTATATAGCTAGTTTAGGTCAATAATTAACGTCTATAGGTCGGTCACGATAGTTATAAACTTATCCGCGGCCTAACGGTTAAAGTTGTCTTTCAAACTTCGCCTCCTACCGATACTATTATAGTTATTATTAATATATTATCTACTAGCGGTACGATTAAGATTAGAGAAGCTTTAGATAACAATCTTAGGATTATTATAGTCGGTATAGTAGGAACTAAGGATATAGACAGTTTAGTTATCGTACTATAGAAGAGCGGATAGTAGTATTATACAATCGGTATTATTACCGTATAATATATCGTAAAAGTATAATAAGAAAGTATATATTACTTATTTATATTACTTACCGGCGCTAAGCTCCGAAAAAAAGATACGCTTTATATATAATCGATATAATAATAAATAGGAGGGAGGCGGTATCGTATAGTTCTATTATCTAAATACTCGAGGCTATATATTCGGACATTATAATAGTATAAGTATCCTTATATAAAAGCGCAAATACTCTCCTAGAAAGAGTACCTAACAATATTAGTCCTTTCGTTAAAGAACTATAAGGAATTCGTTATACTTAGTTTTGATTTATTTAGCCTTACTAAGGCGGTATCGGATTATAAAGCTTTAACCTCGGAGATAGGAGTCTCTATAATATTACTAGGGGATAGATCTAGGTAGGAAATTAGCGATAGAGTAGAGTAAGCTTAGGGCTAATAGTAAAATAACTATATATCTTTAGCTAATTACTCGTTATACTTAGATATTCGGTCAGCTAAAGATTCAGTTATTACCCTTAACGTATTATTAAAGGCTCTAATACTAATTATTATAGTAATTAGTCCGAACGAGTCCTTTAATAAATAGGGACTTAAATTTGTCCCTATGCTTTACTACTTTACCTAGGAGGCGGAGCCGGTAGGCTTCCCTTATATTTCTAACCGCCGTCTGACCTAGCCTAAGGGCGTATAGAATTACTACTTCTAGCCTATAGCGAGTTCGGAGTTCCTTTAAAAGTTTTCGGTATTCCTCTTGTCTTTATTCTACCTTAGTATAAGGGACTTTTCTAGGCTTATTAGCTAAATAAAAGGTAGTCTTAATACGTATATTTTAGTACGGCTTAATAGATCTCCTAAGCTTAATTATCTTAGCCGCTTCGAATAGCTTAGATAATGCTTCGGGGATTATAAGAGAGGAATAATCATAGTATCTAGTTAATCTATTCATTTTCTTTCCTAAGGATTACTCGTATAATATCTTCGAAGCCGGGATAAATAGTAGGAAATATAAGAAAATTTTATTAAAATTAGGTTAGGATTTAGCTAGGAATTATACGGACTATCTATATTAATAGAAGATATATAGTCTTTATATAATACGCCTTTTTTATACGTAGATATATACGAAGCTACGTATTAAACTATATAACAGTATATTAATTTTATTAGGTTATCTTACTCTTAGAAGGCGCTAACTTATATATACTACTAAAAGCGGTAAGAGCTATAGGAGCGAGTAATATAATAAAGTATATATATATATATATTAGCTTTAGATATAGCGAATAGAATAGGAGTCTAGTAGAAATCTAGTAGTATTTATATAGTATTTATTAGTCGAGCGGTATAATCTTAACTAGCCTATTCTAAATTCTAAGCCCTTAGCTATCGCTTCTATACCTAAGGTAGGCTTCGTATATATTAATTATTACTTTTAAGAGAAATACTTTATATCCTTAGTATTATTATTAATTCTAGATCCCCGCTTTTTACGCGAGTAAGACCCTTACGTTCCTAGGACTATATCTAGCCCTAGAAGAATCTATAGTATATTTACTAGATATAGTCTTAGTCGTTCCTAGGAATTAGGATTATAGTTCCTAGAGGACCTACGGCTCCTAGGAATAATATAGCTACGGGGAACGAGGTAGATTCCTAAGCCTCGGTACCGGTAGATATAGTAGGTTACCCTAGCGAATAATTAATAAAAGATACTTAATTCGCCTAAACCTCCCTAGTAATATTATATAGTATTTAGTATAAACCTACTAAATATCTACTAGTATTTTATAATATTTCTTAAACTTAACTACTAACTATCAAAATACTACTAAGTAAGGTTATTCGACGAATCGAATATCGATTAAAGTTAATATATTTTATATATAGTAGAAGAGAAAAATAAGTAAAAGATAGATAGGAAATATATATTTTATACTACTATCTTTATTTAAATAATAGCTAAAGCTATAGTCTATAATTAAAGATCTTCGTAAGCTTAAAACCGAAAGAATAGACTTTAGCCTAATATTCTAACTAGTCGTATTAATAATAGCAATGCTTTACTCCGGCTTAAGTCTTATATTCTAGCTCCTATATACTAATACTTTAAACTAGATAGAGTAGAGCAAAAACCGACTTATCTATAGCTAGATTATAATAGGTAGTATTATTATTCTTAGCTCAATTATATCTATAATACTCGTATTTATAACGACGACCTCTAATAATAGTATATAGATTAATTTGTTTAGCTATATATAACTATACTAATCTAATATTAGATCTATCGCGTTCGATATCTCCTATAGAAATCGGCTTTATTTTACTTTTACTCGTTTTAAATAAAGTAAGTATAGCGAGTAAGAGCTAGGGCGATACTAATACTTTTTATAGTATCTATATATTTTAACTTTATAGTTATATTTGACTTATATAATTACCGGCTTATTTTTTACTAGTATAATAGTTATTCTATCTTTAACTATTTATCAATCGGTAAGTTAAATTAGTTACTACCTAAGATATTTCTCGTTAATAGATTATTTTAGTAGTATCGCAATATTTTGCTTATATTATTTATATCTATAGTTCTCGCTAGTTAAGGCTTTCTTTATACTTAATTCATTCGATATTAGTATATATATATAAAACCTATATCTATAGCAACTACTATATTCAATTTATTTTAGCGATATCTAGTCCCTATAGCTCCTAAATACTATAAAGTTCTCTAGATAGTATTAATTAGGTCAATTATATTCTCCCTTTATTCCCTAGGTATAGCAATTATCGTATATATAAGACTATACCTATAGGTCTAATTTACGACGGTATATACCTTAACTAGAATAATATCTTAGTCACTAATTTGCTTTATAGCTCTAAGTTACTATACTAAGCCTACGGAAGGTTATGATTTCGATATATATTTTCTAAGTTTAAAGAAGGATATTTATATAACTATTTTTATACCTTATAAATAGAGCTTGATAAGTTAATCTATTTTCGTAAAAATAATTCTTTATATAGAACGATTTATTATACTTAAAGAAGATTATTATATCATTTTTTTTACTAGTAGAACGAATATATAAAGCTAGCCTACTTACTAAGACTATATCTCTACTTATCCTATATACTTTATATATATATATCGCTAATAAGTATAGACCTAAGATTACTAAATCAAATAAGGGAATAGTGGTCTACCGTTTACCTACGCCGAGGTAGACTATATCGCGGTCTTAATATACCTTCTTCGGTACCTTTACTCTTACTACCCGCGGCTTAAACTACCTTATAAAGTACGCCTCTATATAAAGATTCGCTCCTTACGTTAGAACTCCGCCTAGAATATCTAGAATTTCTAGCCTTATAGCCCTTAAGGTATATATAATAATGTACTTAGAGGGAGCCTTTCGACCTTCTAGGAAAATACTTTATAATTCGCTTCTATAGTAAGCTCCGCTCTTCCTTTAACTTAATTAAAAGTTAGTCGTCCTTAGAGAGGGGTCGGGTAGGCCCGGTCGTCTTCCTAGTATAGGACCCTTATACTATAGGTAAGCCTTTCCTAGTAGGGGTAGATTACGTATTAACTAGTTAGGTATTTAAGCTTAGATAGTCGTAGGAGATATCTACGTATTGACTAGGAATAGATCTTGATCCCGAGGTAGTATCTATATTAGAACGCGTAGAAATATAGTATAATAGAGTACCCTTAAATAGCTAAGAGAGGAACTATAGCCGGTCTTTAACCGAAAGGGCCGAGAATTAGGTATAAACGGTAGGAAATAAACCGTTTTTTCTATAATAAGGCCCTCTAGTAGACTAAGAGGAACGATTATTTACTATTCTCTTCCCTATAGGTAGAAATTTCTATAC